CTCTTACACGTAAGAAGGGATGAACAGGTCACTTGTGCATGGACCTGAAGCTATCAATTAAAGAAATAGGGGCAAGGCCATGGACTACTTCCCTTGCCTTCATAGTCGGCCGTTGGAGCGCATGCTGGTGCTCCATCGCCTTCCGTTGAATTTGGAACTTAGCAGCTAAGATGCGGCTTGCGATCATTTTACCTCTTGGACGTCCAACAAGGAGAAAGTTCTGCAACGACCAGGTTGTTTGAATATTCATCGTACTGGATGCTTTTGCTCGTGGGGCGCACCACGGGACAGCTGGTGGCAAAACAGAAATCTATTGTATCCTGAATTTTGACGTTGCAGGTTAACCCTCACAGTTCGGTGAAGTCCCTTTCGCATATTGGCGGGAAGTCTCTCCTCAGCTTCGCTCCTTTACGGCAAATAGCCCAGAGTCCATGAAAGATATTTGCCGCACATTATCCTCACGTGGGTATGTAGGCTTCGGGGCATTCTTTAAACCTTCAATGAGCTGTGGTGGACGCATGCATTTCTACAAGAGGCCTGATGCCAACGAAATAAGGATCTTACTGCACCAGCGATGTTGCTGTCTGGGGCAGTATTCTCTTCGCTTCTAGTCATGGAATCAATGCTGGCGTTGACGATCGAGGCTGCGCAGCAATGAGGAACGGCATAAGATGCAGAGTTTCTTAGACCTTTTACCCGACTCGTCTCCCATAGCCTCTAAATCAGCGCTTGAAAATGTTGTGAGGGCGTTCCGCTGCATGAGACTCTTTCAGTTGCTTTGTCCACCCCGTGTGATTCGCTTGCTTACATCCCTGCAGTCGCCCGCGGTTCCCAAAGTCCAAATACACGTTAGAATAGCTAACCCTGGAGCCCTCATCTTCATTCGCTCCATATTTCATGAATAAGGATGTGCTATCAATACTTTGGCTGCAGAACATGTTGCAGAAAATGTTGCTAAAAATGCTGTGTCTCGGCTGTACGCGTACACCACCAGTCAACATACACTGCGCCTCATTGCCACTTCGCAACGAATGAAGCTTCAGAGAGAATAAATGAGCCACACAGATTCATGAGCACTTACCACTGATTCACTTTTTGAACCTCCCAGATGAATTCCTCCAGCACTTGCAGCATGATATGCCTCTGAGTTTTCAAACGTGCACCACAATTGGCATGAGAACAGTCCTTCAGATTCGCATCTCAAACACATGCAAACAACTGTGGAGGTGCATTGGGATCTGCACCCCATTCAGTCCACACAACCACACTTCCTGTCCACAGCGCCGCGATCCTGCGCTATCGCGTGCTGCTTCTCGTCGTTGGGCCCAGCTCTCAAACATTCAAACGTCTGCTCTATGAGTGGTGTTCCGCCGCACGAATTGGCTGGCGCGTAACAAAGCACGTGGGGTCATTACAGTTGATGGAAACACCTTGAACCGCTCATATCACAAGCTATGCCGAGCGTCGAATTGACCGCCCATTTTGTGATCGACGAATTTGCATGCAGCCTCCTGCTAGAGCATGCCGTTGTACCAACATAAACTTTGTACTAATCGGGGTAGGTATCGCTTGCATGAAAGAGCTGCCTTGAATTTTTACCGTGTCTTCTTAAAGCATATGTGCAGATCATGCGGAAGCTGAGGCACCCTGTTGCCACCAACACCGTTCAAATCCGTAGAGCGACTAGAACGTTAAACTGAATTATTCTACGTTTTGACCAAATGCGTGTATCTAGAGCATTCCTGTAGGTGTCTCGTGCTGCACGCCGCGCTTGTCTTGCCATGGGCCGCCGTGCGTGTCCGACAACAGAATTAATCTGACCTTGCCCCGTGGCCCTGGGTAACAAGGTGAAAAACCCTATCTGTACGCAAGTTTGCGCACACACAGACCACTGAAGAAATGTGAAAACCCCCATGTGTCCTCCAGTTTGCAGAAAACCCGAAAAACCACTGTTCAAAGAGTGTCGCTGCAGCAGTCAAGCACACCTTTTGACGTAAACAGGGTCTCTGCAGTGGTGCACCCCCCCTGTACGAACCCTAAACCCTAAACACTTCAAATGCTCACCGTTACCGGGTTGATGGCTCCAGACGATGCGTTTCCCTCACGCCTACTGGCAGAGTAATTGGTTGGTACAGGTTCTTGGATTTCATTATTTGTGTACCTCAGCTTGACAGGCTATTCTCGATATTCACTTCTCCCTTGAATACCAGTTACTACTCAGTACTCAATACCCCCTTTTATAACTCCAGCCATTAGAGGCACGTTGCTGCATTCCACCCACTGGGTGAAATTCTTGCTGGTTGGACAAGATGGCTGTAGGATTGCGGGCGGTGATTGCCCAGTTGTACAGATTTTGTCTCTTCTTGGTCTTCTCTAAGTAGTCTCGTGAACAGGATGGGCATGAAGAACGTCGGAGGATGCAAAGTGGGCGCTGTATCATATCTGAGGAATAATATGAGCTGCAGTAAAACCAAAGTACGTAAGATGAGAGTTCCTTAACTGCACTTGATCCCCATCCCCAGTCTTCAAGCGTCGTGGGCTCAACTGCCCAATCGCCAGGAGCTGCGGGAGAGGAGACGGCTTGAGAGTACGTGTAGCGCACAGTGCTGCCACTTAGGCTGCAAAACATCACAATATGCAAGCAGAAGCAAAGCTTCTCACATGCATGCAAGAACACTATACACCATTCTCGAAAACATCCTTTTGTGTACGGGTTGCCTACTGCAGAGGAGTAAGGGTTCATGTGCCAACTCAGGCAGATTTGCCAACATGGCGCAAAGGAGCCTACGGAGCCCAGGGACCTGGCGAGGCAGGAGTTTTCTTTGCTGAGACCGACCGTGAGCAACAAGAAAGTTAGAATACTTGCAACAAGAAAGTCAGAATACTTGAGAATTCCTGAAAATTAGGTATTATGCCTTTCCACTCTCTAGACCTCATGGGCACACCAGCTAATTGGCTCTACTGCATAGAGGCAGCCTGCCGTGTGCTGCTCCTGCCTCAAGGCGACATCACATGGAAGCATAGCTGAGAGCCAACTTGCTGCGCTCACTAATGCTGTGAGAATCGGTACATGTTTCCAACAGGATCGAACTGGCGAACAAGTTCACATGTGTCAACTTCAGATATATTGTGTTGCACAAATTCGTGTCTCGCTAAGAATGTGCATATTCGTTCCATATTAATATTCAGCTATAAATAAAAACACCAACGATTTGTAGTGAGGCGTATCTCGAGTGGCTCACTACACTGTAACCAAAAGCGCCTCAGCGGACCGAGTGTAAGCTGGAGGTGAAAAACAATTACAGGCTGAGCTGAGCAGATTTGTCTTGAAGGAGAGGCCAGCTGTCTCCCACTAGTTCCATGAAAAGCCAGGCATACCATTTAGCCCTCTAAAGAGACTGAATGCACACGAATGCGTACAAACAGTTTTGTGAGCTTGCAGCGTTTTGCTTCGCTTGATTGATCGAGCTCCTTATCCACCTGCAGTGTATCTATCCACGACCTGAAGTTTGTGTTCCTTGCCAAAGAGTATGAAGGGAAATCCACGGTGTTATGCAATATGGTAGCTAGCAAGCTATGCTGCAGATAAATAAGAACGGGCTGCCCGTCTTGCATAATCCCTACTTGGCTGCGTATCCAAAGATATCTACTTGAATGAGACGAATGAGTGCAAGGTCAGTTTCAGTTTGAGCTTAGTCTCACCCCGTTTTAACCTAGTGGAATATCAGTGTTGTAACGAGGTGGCTGTGAACAAAAAAGGTGCTGCGCAACAGTTCGACCGTTTCACGGGCACAGTCTGTGATACAAGTGGGCACGACGTTGGTGCTTTCAGGCATATTCTCCACCAGATAATTCCTGCGTTGGGGAAAAAATTTGCAATGAAGGAGTCGCATCCTACTTTTTTTTTCCCCAGTTGAAGCTGTACTTGAACTTGCAGAGTCTTACTGTCATTCCCCTCAGGCGGGGAACAGTCTCTATTCGCTTCGTCTTCGATAGTTATTATTAAGGCTGTTGTAACAAACGAAGCAAGTACGTATGGGCATCCCATTGATACTCATCTACCAACACGAGTTTTCAGCATTGTACGAAACCTGCATTTCTGCGTGGGACGAACTTAGCGTTGTATGCAGATTGTTAGAGAGACGAGTGGGCAAAACATACTCAATAGGAAACTGCCTAGAGTTTGAAGGTATAATGGGTGGGTGGGCACGGGCCTATCTGCTCTAGGCAATTTGCGATGCTGGGACCAACCCATACAGCCCGCTCCATTCCCGAACTAGGGAGGCACAAAGACACCAATAACCATCCGTATGTGGCTATTGGGAACTTCATAGACTTATTGATTAGGGTGATTGGGGGGAGCTACTTTCTGCTATTCTTGTGGAAGAAGGGGTGGACCACCCTCGCCAAACTGAACCAGAGGTCACCTGCCCTTAGCTGGGCTGTTCTGCAGGTGAAACACAGCGAGTTCCTTAAGGGACTCATTATTCTTATTTAATTTATATGAATATGTTTGTTTCCTGGTGATTTAGTACAGTTGGTCTAGAGGGGGTCATAGGTGGCTGAGTTGGGGTTACCCAAAAGACATGCTCATGCATGTACACCAGTGAACAATAAGGTTCCGCTTCTGCCTTGAGCTTCAATCATGCACCCAAAATAGAACTGTCTCACCTAAAGTTATACGTAAGACGAAGGCATCCTTTCTCATTAGTCACTACCCTTGGCCTTTCCTTGATCGAAGGCGTTTACAGCAAGAGGTACGGATATAACTATTGCCCCAAGTGTCTGCCCATGCAACATTTCTCGAGGTTTCCGCTTTTACAGAGTATTTGTGGGGTCTGCAGTCTCACGCTTCACAGGGGAAACCGCCTGACAACTCAATATACGACAACAAGAAGCTATGGGTTGTTGCATCCCGACACCTTCACCATGCGCTGATGTACCCGCAGGGTGTGTGTATATGGGAACGGTTGCTAATTCTTGGAATTGAATCCTTTAAAATGGACAGCGTGCACTCAGATCGACTGTCTTGCTCTTTCTCATTAGAGGATGTAGCTAGCAATTCAAAAGGCGGCACTAGGAGGCGCTCCCAACAGCTCGAAAACTCAGGACTTCCGAAAACGTGTGAAACCTGCGGAAGTCTGGCCTCGCAGTTGCGCCGTTCATCTGTTTGTTCTACATCAAAACTAGATGACCAGGAAGGTAAAAAATCTGTGCGCTCACCTCGACACCGTTGCGAACTGACCTCATCCAGCAAATACAGTGCTCCCCGCCCTCGGCGTATCTGGGACGAGCTGCCAGGTTGGCAACTGGAGTACGAGGCACTGACGCCGATTCAGAAGCAGGTCATGGAGTACGTGGCATCCGTTGGTGAAAATGCCAGTGCTGCTGCGAAAGATCGCCTCAAGAGGACTTGGAGGGGGTTCAATATTTCTGAGCAAGACTTCTCAATGATCGAGGTATACCTCGCGAAAAAAGTGCCACTGACCATTCGTATTGACATCCAAGGGTTAGTTCCATACTTGATGAACGACCCCTTCTACAGGTAAAACGCCCAAGGCAGAATGTTCCTAGACATGCACTGCCCTCTGCGACACGCAAGACCACAATGATCACATTGGGGCACCATGCAGCGTCAATGATTCCTTACACCAGCTTATGTGGCATTAGAACGGGTTTTTGTGCTCAGAACCTGTTTCGAGACAAACACGAAGGGAGAAACATATTTAGAAGCGCGACGGGAATTTGAGGCAGTCCTCTTCAACAACCTTTACGAGCACCCCTCAGTTCAGCCCAAAGATAGACCAAAGTAGGTTTATGGTGGGCCCTGCTCCTGACTAAAAGCAAAGCTTTGGAAAACCATGGTTGCCGCGAATCTTGCCGAGTTCTCAGGTATGGTGTCCTGAACATGGTGTGCCATCCGTTTTCTGATTCTCGGGTTTCTGCCTTCGGAAGCGCTTATCTTCTCTTAAAAGACTCTCTCCGGTGAGAGAGTGATCTATTGTAGCGCCATCCTCCCTTTCACTTCTTTTGTCTCTGGACATGTATATAAGCTATACCCTGGTGTCAGTTTCCCTTAAACTGGCATCAACAGCGATCCAGGTACTGCCCCGATTTGTGGTTTTGCTCTGAAAATAGAGCCCGAACAACTGTGGCGACCAGCAAAGAGAATTTAGGGGCCGCCATCCGTCGGGTTGGGACGCTCGATCACATGTGGCACATTGTTGAAACTCTGTCAACTCATGAAATTACAAGGATCCATGTAAGGCCACAATACAAAACTGGAACTGTGAACTCACGTAATGCTGTAAGAGCCAAAGACGGTGGAATTAACGTTCAGGAGGGCCAAGCTGTTTAGTGTCTTGTTTCTCGCAGGCAGTCGCTACCGGCCGAAGGGCCAAAGCCACCGTGTCGCCGGACAGTAAATACTCGGAAATTCAGATACACGGAATGATTGATGTGAGGTAAGCGTTTCCAGCACTCCCTCGTCCAGGGTGAGTTCTTCCAGCCTACAATTGTGTACCTTTCTGATTTGTCGCCACAGGAGGGATGTGGTAGCAATCGTTGTCCAACGAAAAGACCTGGAAAGTTACAAGACCGGTTCGCTAATTCAAGGTCTAAGTAGGAAGTACATTCTTCCTGTATTGACTTGTGAAGAGTTAGATGAGAACCTCGGCGATCGCCGATGGTCCACAGTTGTAAACCAAAGGGCAAATATTCTTCTCCAGGAGACGATGGCAATGCATGGTGCTCCTTCGTGGAATGTGTAAAAAGAGACTTCGTTCCCAAGCGAAAACCATCGTGAGCTAAAATAGGGTCAAAGAATTCAAGTAGGGGTTTGACAAAGAATTCAAGTGGGGGTTTGCCACAGATCTGCTGACCTCCAGCCTGTAGCAGCCTGTGCACTCAGGCTGTAGGGCCTGGGGCTAGTTTAGACAGCTGGTCTGTCATTTACTGCAGAGTACATTCGTTTAACTCATGCTGCACGACAACCGCACGTGCAAGCCCAAGAACGTGAAAAGTAAACACCATTTTTGTGCGTGAACAAACGATGTAAACACGTGGTAAATACTCTCTCTGCCTCAGTAACCAACATGCAAGCAAGAAGGAAATATGCCTAACAAGTAAATACCATGCTATAGTACTCGCACCTTTACAGTCAAGTGGAGACATGCATCAACAGAATGAATCGCTCGCAGGGCACAATCTCGAGGAGCCTCGCACTTCTTACCTTAAACGGCAATAGGAGCCCCTTCTGGCGATGAAAATGCGTTTTATGCATGCTGCAGCATATGCTTGCACTCAATTGATATCTATGCATAGAAACACCCAACAAAAACCAAACAACTCTTCGTTGGTACTGGAATTTGCCTGGCAACAGCATACAGCCCGCCGGCAGCAACCCTGAAAATCAACAGTGTTGGTAAGCAAGCTACAGTGCTCACAGCTGACCTTCGAGCACAGAAAATCTCTGAGAGAATGCAGCAAGACAGTGCACAGACCCAAGACGAAGCTGAGTAGTAGTTCAAGGCCCTTTGTTAGAGAGGCTTCAATGCGAATGCGGTCTGACGGACACCGTTACAACCCCTGCACTGGTCTCGTCTCCTGCGTTGAACGGAGGTCACCGACGGCCACGATTCAACGCTTCCTGCCCAGTGAAATGACTTAAATCCAATTCGTTTTCATGGAAAAGAGCTGGTACAGAATCAGGGCAACGAAGCGTATGGGGGAAGAAACGTACCCCAAACCTGGTGAGGTTCCGGGCGAGCACCAACGCATTAACAACCCTCCCAACCTCCCACCACTTCTTGGGTAAGGGTTCTTATGTTGATTTAACTTCAAAAACGGCCACGTATCCAGCTTCAAAAAGTTTACCTACATTTTATGAACCTTCTGCAGTAAAGATGAAGAGTTTTGCTCTCGGTGACCCGCTGGTGACGTCTTGACCATCTGCAGTGCTCTTGTAGCTTCTCCTTCTCGAGCTTTTCGACTGCAAACTCGGGATAGTTACAAACTTTCTGATGTTTTCCATTATATGTATTCCTTTATTTCATGGCTACGCGAAGTTGGGTTGGAGCACCAGGGTTACAAACTGAAGGTCTCGCCCTCTCGCCGCAATGGCACAGCGAGGAAAGAACAGTCTTGAGCCACCCTCAAGAGGGCGCCTTCCAGGAACCAGGCCCCTCAGTCTAGAGGAGTATGAATGCCTTGCAACGACACATCCGTACGCCGTCAAGCATCTGGCTGCGAAAAACGTGACACCAGTACTGTGTGCAGATGCTACTGCGCGGCTCACTGCAATTCGAGTACCTACGGGGCGGAATGCTGGTAATGAAGTAGACGAGGCGAAGCGTTACTTCGCACTGGGCAACATGAGACAATCGGACAGACTCCTGGTGGCAGGTAAACGAATCGGAGTGACCCCCAGTGGCGCGCAGACTAGTATTCAGCAGGGTGAGACCAAATCGCACTGCTTGCACAACGATGGGAATGACGCCTATCTGCAAAGATATGCAGTCCCTTCATACGCTTGCAAGAGCGACAAGGCATTCGATCTTGAGCAAGTTGCGGCCGGTCCTGTGGGAGAATTCCAGCCCTTCTCGAAGATGGCGAGATTCCCAGCACTGCAAGGCTCATCAACCGGACACCAAGGGGTTAAAAAATTGGAGAACAACTCAAGCAACGACACTCAAGGACCTGGAAGGCTACGCCTGCATACTAGCGTAGCTGTGACAAGTCCGGGCAACCCATGCGGGGATGGAATTCTGAAGTCGCATCTGCACGTTTTCCAGTCTCCACAGGACTGTAGTAGATGCACCGGACAAGCAGTGTCTCGCCGTCAACTACACAGCGCTAAACAACCATGCTCAGACTATAAAGCTCATGCATCCGATTCAGCCATGATGCATTCGATGGAAACAGGCCATACGGGGCCGGGCGAAGGCAACCTCGGTGGGGATAAACGCTCAATCGACCCTCAGGAATATGGAAGCTACAGGAGGGCAAGGCTTAGCGTGGTTGTTATAAATAGAAAGACTGGTGAGGACACACGAAAAGGGAGCGCAGAGTACAGGCTTCCCCACGGCGACAAGCGACAAGCAGGAGCCCACCCCAAATACCCCCCTGGTCTATACTCTAGACACGATCCAGTAGATGAAAAGCAGAACTCGCCTTCATCAACTAGAGGTTTATGCCCACAAAACAGAAAATATATGCAACACGGAAACGAATTTCGACGTGCTGCTAACCAGGAATTTTGCAGCGAGGCGCTCCCTCGGCACGACGCATACATAGCGTCAGCTACACATGGAGCCTATTCCCACGAACCTTTCGGCTTCCCACGCCTGCGTGGCAACAACAGTTCGAATGAGCATTGCTTACCTGAAGGTCGACATTACGTGCCAGCCGTCACCACAAAGCAACAACAGCACATGACTGACAATACCCGGCATGCAAACCGCCGGAGGGCGTCTGAAGGGGATATTTCCGAAGCAGCAAATACCCAAAATGTGTCGCCAGCATACCTGAGGAAACCATATCCGTACCACCATTTGACAAACACGTCGCACCAATTGGGGGAGCAACGTTTTGCGAAAAACATAGGAATGGCAGGCAAGACAACGACTGCATTAAAAAATACCAAATCAGGTGGGCATGCAGTAGGAAATGGGTCTAAGGGACTAGGATCAACTGGTTCGAGAACAGAAGGAGACTGCAAAGTACTTCGGGAGCGGGAAGGTGTGAGCAGTTTAGGAGGAGTAGGTAGCATGGAAGTCTTGCCAGGAGCATTTGCATCTCGGAAGGGATTTTCTTCTGGGGGGACTGAAGAAGGTTTGAGGTCGCGTGAAGTGACTGAACGGCAAGGGGAGCCGCATGTTTCCCGAAGTCGGAAGGAATACGGCAGTATGTGTTCTGGAGCGGACGAAAGTAGAGATGGTTGTGGCGCAGGAGGGCGTGTGACTGCAGCAGGTGGAGAACAGCGAAGAAGGTTAGTGGAAAGTGAACGAGAAGCTGAGGCAGGGACAAGCCACAGGCCAGAAGGCGGAGACGAACTCCCTCGTCGGATCAGTCAAGAAGATCAGACTAATTTGCGGGGTTTTCGAATGCCCTCAGTGGGGATTGATTTAGGTGGCGTTGGAGTCGGAGACGCCAGTTCTAGGGAGGGTATGTAGTGGTCGTTCCGCTAGTGTGGTGCGCTGGTGTAGGCGACGTGTGCGTCTGTTGGTATGTTCGTTTGTTGAATGTGGAGAGCCGGGTCTGCTGAGGGTAGTTTGGCAGAGATGGAAACACACGCCATTGCACACTGGTGCTGGTGAGATTTGTTCAGGAACCGAAGCTGTTCAGTTTGAAACCTGCCGCTCACGTACAAGATCCAATAAGGCGTCTCAATCATGTCCCGTTTCAAACGGGCCTCTGATATCGGTAGGTGTGGTTTCGGCCTTCTGCAAGCGGCGCGTCGCCTGAGGTGATGGGATATTGCTTCATAAAGGTGACAGAAACAACGTTCTTGGAATACGGTGGTGTGTCACGCAGGCACGTGGGTGTCCTAATGCTTTGTTTGAAGAGGGCAGTGTGAAACTTTCAGAGTCTACTGCAATTGACAAGCTCGCGTATTTTTCAACAGCTAGTTCTGGGAACCTAGCGTCTGTGTTGCAGAGCGCTGTTTCTGTGAAGTCCACTTCTGATATGAAATGCCGCAGCAGTCGCTATAGCATGGTGCTGCGCCACGCGACAGAGGGAGGGGACATACCTATCCGGCCAACTAAGAACATCACTGCAAGTGGAACACGATCCATGCTAACGTCAGACGGAACAATGAAGGCCCTGCTAGAGTGCGCAGGACCTTGTCCACAGGCAACGACGGAATCTGAGCGTATTACAGGGCAGCAGCAACCACCCTACAGTCTTCAGCATGATGCAGAGGCAAGGTGTGGCAAGACTGACCACCTACGACCAGACGATCAGCACGTAGATGGTAGGTGCAGCCATTTGGATCGCCCTGTTGCATTGTCTTCCATACCAAACGAGGGCTCACACACACACGGGAGCACGAAGCCTCACGGCGCTCCTGAATTTAAACCTTTTCTCTCTAGTGGACTTGCGAGGTTCGCGAATCGGGATGTACTGAAATCACTAGACCGCTCTGCACAATTCAGAGAGCCCCCGTCGTTGGTGGACAAGAAAAACAGCACTTCGAAAACATCCTCACCTTCCGGTTTGTCATTTAAAAGCGCAACTGGAGTCTCATCATCTCGACGGAGTACAGGAGACCTGCACTCTAACAAGCCTGGGAACCAGAACCTGTTACTGCCGACGCGTCGTGCAGGTGCCCGCATGGAGAAACCAAGTGGTGACAGCGCTGCTCCTCAAGCCTGCATTACGGGGCCGTCCTGTATGGATGCCACTGCAGTTGGCCGGCGATTGACAGCACAGAACAATATGTGGTCAGCAGTTGGCAGCTACGAACCGTTGGCCTCTGTAGTATTTCAGGAATTGTACCCTCAATTGTCCCGTGAACTCCAGGCACTCTGCATGCAATGCCTCGGCACAACAGACTCTCCAGAGCTGCGAGCACTAACAGATATTCAACAAGCAGCAATGAAACTGGTTGCTGAACAATCTGCTCGGAGAAGTATTGAAGCCAAAAGCCGGCTTGCTGAGGTCTTCAAACGAGAAGGGCAGCCAAAAGGGGCTCTTGAGTCGCTGGAGCAGTTCCTGCTGGAGCGCTCGCCTATTCTCATCTACTTCGACATTGTAAGCTTAACGCCACATCTGGAGCAAGGCGGGTTCTTTAGGTAAGTCAAATGAGGGCGTTTTTGTTAGACACATTGCAGCGGTGTACGTTTATTTTGGTCTTCTGTTCATGTGATCCCTTGGCTTATTGTATGCTTCTAAATCAGGTCGCATTTCGAAATACCGCAAACGGACGCAACCTACTTGCGCAAATGCAATGAGAGAGAGCTAGCACTTTATTGCGGTTTGTATGAGCATGAGTCCGTGCGACCCGAGCATCATCCCAAATACGGCTATGTAAGCGTGAACTGCAAACTTCAGCCGCCATGGGAGCCGCATTCCGGTGAAGCGTGTATCATCCTGAAAGACCACGTGAGGTATGCTGTTGGAAATTCCGTCATCCCTGCTTGACCTGTGGCGTTCCCTTACATGTTTGTTGTTGTTGACGTTAATGAGAAGCATTCCACAAGTTATATGTGTAGTTCGTCAGGTGTTTCTCCATGCCAGGTTTCCCACGTGTGTCGGCAGAGTCAGGGCTACAATTTCAGCAAACCAGTGTGATGGGGCCGGCGTGTTATCCTTTGGGCATGAACCTTTAGTTGCCACCCTCAACAACCCCTGGCATGTATTGGAGCCTCTTGGGCATGAGACCCTGGCGGCCTTAGCAGTACGCGAGCAGATAAATCGTGCGGATGCTGCATTTACGTTGCGCAGCCAGGGCTCCTTTTCTCCCCCTCAGCTGCCCTCGTATCCTTAGCAGCCCTTTATATATATTGTATATTACTTGCTGCTTGACTGCATTTCGAACAACGGGATGCTTAACATCGAAGGGTCTGTAGTTTGACACGTACAAATTGCCCGGCGGTACAATGCCATGAACAGATGTACCGGTCCAACACACAATTTCCTTGAAATCCTTGGCGTTGTGCAGGCCTTTGCTAAGAAACCAACGTCAATGAGAGGCGCTGACATCCCGGCACTGGTGGACTGCAACATTCATGGAGAGATAAAGCTAGGGTAAGGCTGAAACGTAAGTTCAGGTACACATTCAAGAACACACTGACATGTTAATGTGAAGTGCAGAGACCCCTCGCCATTGTTTTCAGAAAGGATGTGGAAGCCATTGCGTTGCCAAACAGCGCAACACGCGACAAGGCCACTTTTGCGAAGTTACGGGAAATCGCTACGCAGCACATGGTGCCGATATTGTCGATGGAGAAATGCCCTCGTGCTGTTAAAGACGACTGCTGGAAGCAGACACTGCGGCACCTGCAACACGAAGTTTTACTTAAAAAGACAGCTTTGGGATATACATACGGGCAAATCTGACAGAGCTGACGAAACATGTTCATCGCACCGGATAAGCTCACTGCGAGCCAGCTTCAGTACTGCCGTGGCTACATATTCCTGTATACTGGATTGTGCAAGGCGCAAAACCTCTACATAGACAGTCCCAGTAGCCGCATCCTCAAGCGAAAGGCTTCTTTCCTCTGCCAGGCGTCGCACTGTAGTAAGAAACTGGCTGCATAGGAAATCTTAGCTTATTACACTGGGAGTCACCTCATTTTCTAATATCTTCTGCACTCAAGGCGTCCATTATCAGTAAAGTGTACAGCATTGGCAATAGTATGTAGCAAATTAAGTGTATGCACACAGGATAGTTACGTGGCTGTTGCTGCAATTGAGCACATAACAGCTGCCCAGCAACATTGTATTCCTGGGAGAAAACCTGCTTGCCGTGTTAGGAGCGGATCCCAAGCACTTCCTCGTGCTGCCGCCGTACTCTATCCTGCAGGCAGTGGTGACGATCCAGAGCCACCCTGCCCCTCCAGAACAACAAATTTGGTTGGTTGAGAAGCCTGACGCAGAGCATCCTGTTGATCTGCTACACCTTGGAGACTTCGTCAGCGCTGGGTCCTCCAAAAGTGTACAGCATTGTGCAACTATCTATCTGATCGCTCCAACCACAGTAGGTACTCCTTTAAAGATCTCTGGATGACACTGTGAGGCCCGCAGGAGTTTAGTGTAGCCTTCACACAGGCTCTGAGAATCTGTTTTGTCCGTGCAAGATCTCCCACTTGGCCAAGTAACAGTGCAGCCCTGTACATGTGCGCGCACACCTCTGGCTGTGATAACCCAAGAGGCAGCCTTTGCAACAAAATGTAGACCGCAGCCGACATGCAACTAGCTGCTATGCCAGCTGACTCAACAGAGCTGATGCCCCCGTGTACCTGCCGCATCACTTCTGCTTGCTCATGAGCAGCCCTGGCTGCACTCTGCAGCGCCTGCCACACATCCGTAGACAAACTTCCACTGACGGCTACCAGATGCGGGATCGCTTGCAAGATGCCTTTCAAGACCTCATTTAAAAGCTCGCATTGCTCTGCTTTTGTGACCTTGGAAAGGGGGTTGACATAACTTCTCAAGGCACTCCGTAGGCGATTCAGCTGGACGTGAATTGCTTCTCGGTTCTTTTCCAGGACAGCGGCGGGGAACCGCGAATCGCAGTTGATGCAATAGAATTCTCTGAATTCGTAAATCAGTGTGTTCTTGTTTAAAAACGACGACATTATAGCAGATGAATCAGGAAAGGCCTTACCCTGAGGTGACCACAGAGGCGTACATGAATGACCCACAAGGGCCAATATTTGCTTACTGGTATGTCGTCGCTGCATCTGCCCTTTTGCCAGAACCTGGAAGAGCAGCCTCGAGAAAGAGGTGACGAAGTCGAGGGTTTTCGCAGGCATCTTCGAGAAAAGTGAAGAGGTAGTGGCTTGTCCTGTTAGTCGTGTTGGTAGTGGTAATGACGTCTCGTTAGGGTCGGGCCTCAAACAGCGTCTAAGATTTGCAACGGTGTCAAACAGCGCATGATGCCCTTGTTCACTGCTTGAGTTCTGTTGCATACTTTCTAGAAGTTCTCGAGCACGGGAGATAGAAGTGCAAAGAGGACATGGAAGCCCGTAAAGTAGCTCGTATTGGTAGGCGATGCAATCAGCAACCGCTGCATTAGTACCGCCCCCGGGAGGGAGGCAAGCCTGCAGCAACAGGCAGCACACATTCGTCCGACAAGCATCTTGATATCGTGCTGCGGCAGCTACAAAATCCTGCAAGCAAAAGGGGCTTTTAAGCCCCTGTTGATGCAAACATCAACTGAAAGCCGCCGCGTCGGGAGACATCAGGTGCACGCCTACCTCGCAGCGACAAAAAAAGCCAGCGTGCTTGAGCATCCAGTCTTGCCGGAAGCCCCAAGAACTCTTCGGCAATCCGATCATAGAGCCATAGGAAATACAAATCTCTTGGAGTCGGCCACCTTCTGAATTCTGCGGGGCACATAGCCGGATTTGTAGGAGCACGCCGCGCCCCACACCACGGGGGCTCGGAAGTAAATCGAAACGCTGCGCCGGTGGGGAATCAGCATCCTTGTGAAGGCCGAGCGCTTTTTCACGTCGCTGCTGGCGCCACTGAAGCCGGTCTCCGGGTTCTCCAAAAGCCGCAATGGCATTCGGCGCACACGAATGGTTAATTAGAGACGCCGCAAGGAACACCGCAGTGCCAGCTGCCACCCCTTCGTCTTCAGGGTCACAAAGAACACGAATTGTGAAGCTGTTGCAGCAGGCTACACCATAGACGTGGAGTGCCGCTGAGAACAGGCACCTAGGAAAGGGGACAAGGCAGTGCGTCGAACCGTCACTGCCTTGCAAGGTCGAAGAGCGAACAGAACACTCTGGGCACCACGCCCGGCAGCATACGCAGCAGCAACCGCCAAGCTGCTCTGTTACTGTCCCATCTAGACTCAGCGGTGGATCTGTGGCAGCTGCTAGCGGTGAAGTCGTTGCAGCAGCGGACGCTGGACGTGACAGTAACGCCGCTTTTTTTCCGTTGGGTCTGCAGATGAGACAACGGCCGCCGCAATGCAACCCTCGACCAAATGCTGCAGCTTCTCCAGCCAGCCACGCAGCATTTAGCAACCAATCCGCCACCCTCGTACTGTCTACGACAGTGGACGAGGTCCTCATTTGCAACTGGCACCATGGCGGCTCTCCCAGAATACTGAGCCCTGCGCAATCTGGGGTGGTGCTCAACTCTCCCGCAGCTTGAATTGGGGCTTTGGCTAATGCTGCCGAGTTCGCCCCATCTGCCTGTTTCCCTAGGGCAGCTGATGGTGCCAAAACGGAAGCCAAAAGCTGACGTGCAATGTGACGATGTGGATCTGGAAGCGCGAGGGCTAAAGGCTGCACTGGCGTCTCCAACGTATTTGCAGCGGCTTCCTCCTCTTCTTTACGATTGTCTCCATGCCCTGCACTGGGTTCCAACCCACACCCCTCCTGCTGGAGGTACTGCTGCTGCTGCGAGCCGCAGATGCGTTTGTGAGAGGAAGCCGCTCTGCAGCTGCGGCAGCAGAACAGAGCAGCCGCGCAGGAGCCGCAGGGTACGACAGGAACTGTTGGAAATAATATGCTGCTCAACACGCTCTGCCATGAATGCAGCCCTTGCCGGTAGCACTCATTCGCAGATCCATCCTGGCGAACTGGCAACGTCGCGCAGCCTGCACAGACCCCGTCCATCTCTTCCTTAAGTAAGCTTACACCATGTCTTTCCTCGTCCCTATCATGGTTTTCCTCACTCTCTTTCTTATCCTCGGCGCCTTCCTCAACGCGCGCCTCCCACTCATCGCGAAGAGCCACATCTGGATGTAGTTTCAGGCCCACTGGGTCTTGTGCAGTGGCAACCGTGAAGGATGCAGGAAGCGAGAAGGGAATCTTCGGAACAGCTGCACAGAGTTTCGGATGCACGTATACTGCAAATGCTTCTTCCTCCAAAACCAAACAAGGGTCGCTCTCCATAGTAGAAAGCGCATCGTTCGCTGTCACAAGGCCCCAACCTTTTGCGTCCAGCTGTACGCTTACGTCTTTCCTGAGCCAAAGCCCTGGAGAATGAGATGCGGAGCAGCCCTTGCTTTCGGAAGGAGGGCGAAGGGCAGCATTACAGTCACAGCCGCAACAACCAACCATCATGCGGCTTGCTGCAGCCGCTGCATCAGAATCGTTCGCCTGGCCCTGGGAAATCATCTGGGCGTCTGCTATCTCTCTATCAAGTTGCTCGAGGCAAGCACGAGCAGCTCGAGAGCAGCTGCTCGTACTTCGATCAATGCTGCTTTCGCTGTTACAGGTGCTGCTAGTGCTGCGAGACGCTAGGAAATATCGCTCTAATTCACATCGCAAATGCACCAAAGCTGCAGCACGGCGGTGCCATGCCTTGCGGTACCGTGGGTCTGCAGCGACGGCTTCCGTCGCAGTCCGTAATGCCCGTTTAGCCTTCCCGAGTCGCAGCAGCACAAGGCTTGCGTTTGCAGACAACACCGCCAGCAGGCTGCTGCTGCTGCTAGGGGAAGTGCTGGATTCACTGTTTGGGAGCAGTAATATCCCAGCTGTGTAGAGGGATGCAGCGGCAGCTGGTCGTCCACGCGCCAGAGCTGCGTTGCCCCACAATTTAAGCTGACCGCTAAGTTCAGCACTGGGACGCAATTTCCAGACTTCTAAAGGCACCACACCGCGGGAACCATCTGAAGGGAGCTGCAACGCACTTTTGTCGCTGGCCTCCCACAGCTTCCGGAATAGCGGAAACATAAAGGGAACAAATGCTGCCGAGGCAAGCGCCACGGAATCGATTGAAAAGATATTCCTGCCACTGGGGGGTCCATCATCAGAAGCTGCTGCATCAGAACTGAAGCTGCAACTGGTGCGGCGCGGACTAGGGCACGCAGTATGCAATACGCCGTTAGTATCAACGCCGTATGGAGGGGAAGGCGGTACTAGACGGGTAGACAGGAGTAAAATACGTCGTGCCAGGCATTCCGCATGGTTGCAATTTTGGTTGCTCTCACAGTTGCTCAACGGACCAGCGGCATTGTTGTCAATAGTAAGTCCGCCTCTGCAGCATACGTGGTTGGAAGTGCACGAGCTACACCTGGGGCGCGAGATTCCGCAGTCGATGCTGCTTTGGCACTGGGTTACATCACATGTAGGTTGGCGGGCGCATAGGAACTCTAGTAATTCCTGCAGCGCTGGCAGGCCGGTCTGCTGCAGATGCTGAAATAGAAGGCTGGTGGCCATTTTGGCCTCCGTTGCCTCCTCTATGCTTCTCTAGATATTAGCATGCTTGATGGCATACTAATATCTATAGAACAGCTGCCCATGCTCAATATTGCCTCAACAGATCCACAAGGCATAACACAAAAACTGGAGAAACGCGATAAGTCGTTCGTCAACAGAGTTTATAGCGTCGATGAGATCCCACGGCCGACTGTGGCAGACATCCCGTAATGGATGTCGGTTAAAGCAGGAAGTTAAACTAAAATACTGCTTTATAATTGTAGTTATAAGGCCATATTATAAACTTATTCTTTGTTTCTGAAGGGAACCATACCCTGTGTAGCGCGTTTCATTTAATCCTGTTGCATAATGGTGTTGCATGCGTTTGAGGCTTCCAGGCTGCCTGTTGTCTGTTGAGTACCTCCGACCGCCAAAGATAAAATGAATATCTGCAGTTGATGCTGCAATACAAAGAATTTTACGGCAGAGCAGCTCAGATTAGAGGGGTGGGCATTCCGTCGTAGGCTTCCAAAGAACACGGCGGACAGCATTTCAGGTTTTGTTTCCTCAGCCCTTCTGGAGTTCGATCTCCATATTTGTCTTCTATTTGGCATTACTTTCCTTAGGAATATATGCCAGTATGGCGCAAAATTCCTCTGGAAAAGCGGTACGCCCAGGCAGCACGGCAGCGTTTTGGCTGTAGCATGACCCAGGGAACGAATGCAACTTTGCCTGCTTATGGAGGAAAGGTTCCCTTTCCCTCTTAGCCTAGGCACTTGGACAACTAGATTCAGCAGTTCAGCTGCGCATGGACGGAACCGGTGCAACTCATTACGTCTTTCTCTTGACTCCCGCTGTCTTCTGCACCTCTTCTGTCCCTCAGGCAATGCGTCTGGAGGACCTCGTGGTGCCTGCGAAGAATGGAGAACACAGAAGTATTCCGGGGGCAAAGTTCATAGTATGCACCGCCTGGTCGTGCATCCGTAGTTTCTGAATTCTGAACCGTCCAGGACGAGAAACGACGAGACTGTGGTTTTCTGCTTCTGCGCCCATCCCTCCTTGCTATCTGCAGATGCACATTACATTACTTGTCTTGACTATGCTTTCTTACACTGTTACACGTGCATTCGGCGCCCCATTTGTTTGGGTCTTGTCTCCCTCATGGGCTGAGACGACGCTGCTGATTGAGCAGTACGCACGCCGTGCTGAGCTCGTGGTTCCTCCTGTTGTGCTGCAGGAAAAAGTAGAGACGTTTGTCGGGTCCTGCAACCCGACATCTGTTGAGTATCTCTTCAAAGAACTCTTACAGTAAGCTGCAGGCTCCTGACCCTTCACATGTTGTACTTCGGAACGGCGCAGTGGCACTAGGAATTATGCCATTCTGTTCTCCCGTGGCAGGTGTATGCGTGGATATCTGTGGCTTTATCCATAAACATGCGTGCATCTGCACACAGCAATGTGTTAGCGTCCCCTTACGATACATGGGGTGGGCTTGCAAAATGCATTTTAGTTGACTCTTTCCGTTGTGCGGTTTAGGAAGTATCGCTTCATGGAACATTCTCTGCTCGGGCAGAAGGACACTCTCAGGGCCAAGACACTCGCCATAAAGGAGACAATGGATGCATTGGAGATGCTGAAGCGGCAGCGCGTAAGGGAACCCTCTTGTTATTTGTAGTAGAGAAGCTGCCGTATATATATATATATATATATATATATACATATATATATATATATA